AAGATGAAGATGAAGATGAAGATGAAGATGAAGATGAAGATGAAGATAAGGATAAAAATCATAACCCCTTAACTTTAACTCATCTTAACTTAAAAACTTACTCCACCTGAGCTCACCACACATTAATTCACCACACTTTAACTCCCCACACCTAAATTCACCACACCTCAACTCGCCACACCTTAACCCCCGCACCTAAATCCACCACACCTAAATCCACCACCCTTAATTTACCACACCTCAACTTTCTCACCACACCTTAACTCACCTCAACTCACCACACCAAAATTCACCATACCTTAATTCACCACACCTCAACTTTCTCACCATAACTTAACTCACCACACCTGAATCCACCACACCTAAATTCACCACACCGTAACTCCTACACCCAATTCCACCACACCGCAGCTCACCACACCCAATTTCACCACATGACATGATATCACTTGATGTGGCATCAAAGGCAACATCATTTGGCATAAAATGAACCAAAATAAATAAGATTTAGATAGAGGTGAAAAAAGGGATAAAAAGGAAATACAACTGAAGAGTGTGCGATGTTATATTGTGGTGTGTTATGCTTCATATGTTATGTTATTTATTCTTATGTTATGGTTATGTTATGTTATGCCAAGTACTAAGCTAAACTCCCCTCCACTTTACCCATTCCAACTAATGTTATTTTAGCTCATTCAACTTACATAAACTATCCTTAATTTTATCGGTTGAATTTCAACCGCTGGGCGAACACTAGTTAAATTAAATAGACTATACTCATAGAAAGAAATTTATTATCAGACTTTTGGGTTTCCATCTATTTACTATGGGCGGATGAAAAATTGTCTGGTTGATGTTTTAGATAACAACGAAAAATAAAGCCAGAACGAACAGTTTTAAAGTGCACAAAAATTACTTTAATAAAAATATATCAAAATGAAAACCAATTTACCTTTTTACCAACCCGCATTTTTTGTACCAAATTTGGTAATTATTTATAGAGAATGTATCCGTTTTAGACATTTTAGCAAAACGTGTAAAACTATTGAGAACGGATTCCGAAAAATTATCGTACCTGTCGCTCAGTTTGTGGCAGCAGAACTCTAGTTCTCGTCATTCGTTTTCAAAAGTTTTTGCGTAGTGTTTTCGATAGTGAAACCGTATCTCAGACGGAAGTTATTTCGATCCGTTTTGTTATCGAGAAATTAATGAAAACGGCCATGTTTCCGATCTGTTCGATTATCGAGAAAGTAGCGAAACGAAAGTTATTTCGGCCCGTTCATCCATCGGGAATGCATCGAGAGAAGAAACGTAAGCATTTATTAAAATTACTAGTTTACGATAATTTGTGCTGTTTTATTTCCGTTTAATCCCATATAAAAAGAGTGCTTTTAAAATTTTAAGAGTTTTATATTTAACATGATAGAAAATTAGAAGAGTTAAGTTTTCTGAAGTTTAAAAAAAAACTAAGTTTTATAAACGTATTTAAATGCAATTTTGGTAAA